TGTGCATATACAATTATACCGGGTTCGCATTATTGTGCATGTACAGATATACCGCGTTCGCATTATTGTGCATATACAATTATACCGCGTTCGCATCATTGTGCATATACAATTATACCGCGTTCGCATTGTGCATATACAATTATACCGCGTTCGCATTATTTTGCATATACAATTATACCGCGTTCGCATTATTGTGCATATACAATTATACCTCGTTCGCATCATTGTGCATATACAATTATACCGCGTTCGCATTGTGCATATACAATTATATACCGCGTTCGCATTATTTTGCATATACAATTATACCGCGTTCGCATTGTGCATATACAATTATACCGGGTTCGCATTATTGTGCATATACAATTATACCGCGTTCGCATTGTGCATATACAATTATACCGCGTTCGCATTGTGCATATACAATTATACCGCGTTCGCATTATTGTGCATATACAATTATACCGCGTTCGCATTGTGCATATACAATTATACCGCGTTCGCATTGTGCATATACAATTATACCGCGTTCGCATTGTGCATATACAATTATACCGCGTTCGCATTGTGCATATACAATTATACCTCGTTTGCATTGTGCATATACAACTTTACCGTATTTCCTGCTATAAAGATTATTTCAATAAAGAGTTGACTTCAACTTGTTCATCATAAGCAGGAACAGTTTTAGACTCGTATAAGTGTTAGATAATTTACATTGTATTGCTGTCTGAGAAGGCATTGACAATCTAATAAGTTCATGTAAATATACGATAAAATATGCATTAACGCTATTCTAGCATACAAATATTATACATTTAAATAGACGATTCCGGATTTTGTATTATTACAAGAATAAATATACGATATTTTTTATTTAGGCGTTTATATTTAGTTATATTGTTTCAACTTTGGCCTAGTTTTGTGTGACACGATATTGTAGATAATGTATACCTCACGTTATTTTCGTTGTAAGTATATGTGATCCATTTATATTTTTTTTTTTCAAAATTCATTACAACACTTATTTTAGAAATGTAATTCTAATTAAGATGAAATATGTCATTGACTATAAAACAGTTTATGATTGTATGCTATAGTGTGTGGGCGATTTTTTGTTTGTAATGATTTATTGATACGATCCTACTTCAAAAAGAAAAAATGTTCGTAAAAGTACGAAATAATAAAAGAATCAAATAAATCCAAGGAAATTAAGAATTGCGTCTGTAGTTCTGTACTTTATCATGACAATGATCAGTCATACTTAAAATAAAAACAGTTTAACCATATAAAATAAACAGGTTGAAATTAATAATTGATGTAAAGTTATACTAAAGTTAACCTTTACATGCTTAACAAATGCATCAGAATAATTTGGAATACCCAAATCCAGACAAAAAAAAAAAAAAAATATTAGCGTGTTCCGTTATGACGTCGCTTCCGGTAATTTTATTATGTTTTGCACTGATGAAGGCATATAGCCGAAACGTTTGCAATTTAAATTAAATTACTAAATGTTCGTGTTTGTGTGGCTTGTCTGATTATTTCAAATCCAGACACTGCACTTCTAACAGTAAAGGGCCTAGTCAGTCAGCATTCAATAGAATACAGAATATCCCAGGGTTGGGGTTAGTAGGTTGCCATGGTTCTGTACTGGTGACAAGAGTTTTTCAATTTTAGTTCCAGCAGACTGGCCTTGTTGTAAACTGGAAACAAAGACTTACCAGTTTTAGTTCCAGCAATTTGCCCTGGCTCTATATTGGTGGCAATATGTAAATGGGTTATCTATTTTATGGCGTTACTGAAGGTGAAGAGCACAAAAACTGCATGATTCCGGTAAAAACGATTTGCAATAATATAATAGGAATGCCAGAAGCAGCCACATCTAATATGAACGCGCCCAGAGAATTGAAAAAAAAATGGAACTAAACCCCGTCTGATCGTCGTGTCGGACCATTACTTTGCGGAGGCTTAAAGTATACAATAAACTGACAACCGCCGGCGTCGGTATTGGGAGACATTCACCGAAAGCAATCAGGGATGCACGCAAACCATTATATGACGTCAGTTTTCGTATGTCTGGAAATAGAAAAAATTTCCATGTTGCATGGGATATTTTTGTTAAAACTTTCTGCTAAATTGTTTTTGATAACCGTGATGTATATATTAAATATGTTATTCTTATTCTAATACCTAATAGCTCTAATTTATTGAGAACTTCTGATTTTGATTTCTTTGATCAGTAAGAACTTAACATTTCAAAATATAACAATATATGTCACGGATGAACTGAATAGCAGAGTTACTGATACTTACTATTTTATAACATAGATCGAAATACTGGTTTTTTTAAACATAAATGCAAACATCCCGTTCGTGTAAACAAAGATAAGGCCATAGATCATAACGGCAAGAGATTAATCGATTTATGTCAATTCACGTGTCTGTTAACATCAAACGGTCGCGTTTTTAATGAACCTGGCGATTTTACTTTCAGTTCCGGTAAATTTTTAAGCACTGTTGATTATATGCCAATTTCGAAAATATATTTCAAAATTGCAGAGTCCAATAAATTCTCGGATAATGCTCCAATACTGTCTACTCTTTCAAGGATTGTTCACGATTCAGTACGTAGATTGCAAAACAAATACGAATACTCATGCGAATATTAGAAAAGAAAAATGATTTGGGACAGTGACACATCGCGCACCAGTAACAATTGTGACGTCATAAATAATCTAGCAGACGAAATTTCGTTGTCACCGACTGACCACGTGGCAGACTGGTTCCCTCACTTGCTAAACGTATACATACATGTACGCTCGCGACATTAAGAAGATCTTCAGAAACTCGTTCCAATATTATAAACCTATAGGAAAAATATTTATCAAACAAAAAGGAATGGTTCGATGACTGTCAATAATCAGAATGTAATTTCAAAACAATAGAAATATTTTCAATAGAGATAAAAGTGACGCTAACCGATGTAGTTTTCCTCAAGCGAGAACAGCTTACAATAGGGTAAAAGATACAAACTGAAAGAAGGACGGAATATAAAGCAATTTGGCTAAATCGCACCCGAATTCTTTTTGGAAAAAGTATATGAAAAATCAATCTCAGATTATTTAAGAATAAAAAGTTTCTTTGATGATTTTAACTCAATGTTTGGGAGCGACCAAAGCCAAAATGATTTTAAACTACTCATTAAATAGGCTGCCCATTCAGTTTGAAATAAAATCAGCGATTTTCTAGCATAATAATAATAAAGTCCAGGCTTAGACAACTTAACTATAAAAAATAGTAAAATATTCAAATGTAGTTATGATCTTTCTTAGTTGAAATAAAACAGTGGAATGGTGAGTAATGGCGATATATGAACGTCTTGGTATATCACAAAAAGGGGAGCTAAACAAAGTAAAAAATTATTGCGGTATGACATTGATTAACGTCCTTGCTAAAATAGATTGTCTAAAACAACGAAATGGTCGAATAAATATGAAAAAATAATGATAAACAATTTGGTTTCCAGAAACGGAAATAAAATGTCATTGTATTTTCATTTTGCACTCAGTAATAAACAAAGTACTACACTCAGGTCATCTTTACTGTGTATGCAATGTTTCGAAAAATAGAAACGGCATTCGTTTTTACACAGAACGTTAACATTTGTACAAGCTTTAAGATGTGTTCGGTCGTTAGGTCATGTGTGCGGTTTAAGTTTTAATTATTTCACACATAACGTGTCCCTCTCCTTTCGCCGCCCTTATGTCTATTCCCGGTTTTGGTTTGGTGCCTTCTTGGTGCCGTACTTGGGTGTGTGTGCTACGTCCAGTGAACGTTGATCTTTATTATTGTATTTAACTCCCAAATGTCAGATTTTTATCAGCTCTGATATAGGTTCAAAGCAGTTCTCTGCTGTACATGTTTATCGTTAATGACATTTCTCAAAATATAAACACAAGCTTACACTGACGACATTGCTACTGTAAATGAATTCAAATATTTTCTGACGATCAAGCACTTTTTGCAAACTCCCAATAGAGCCTTCAATCAACGATAGAAGATTTCCCTGACTTAAAAAAACGTCGCGCTACTCATCATAACGTCTATATCAATGACACGCCAATCGACAAATACTTAGACATAAATTTGTTTAGAAATGTAAATTGGTACCGTACTCAAAAATGTATAGCACAGTATGACACAGTCTGGTCTCTATTTTGAAAAACATTGAACTACCGGTGAAACAGATTCTTCAATTATTTGATAGACTCGTAGGCTCGAGTTAGGGAATTCACGAAGCAACAGACGTTGATAAAGATGACCCTCTTAAAATTTATAATTTCTCCCACCACTGGTTAATCGAAACAGGTCGCTATGACAACACACTGACAACAAGTGAACGACCTATTTGTAAATCGTGCATATTTTATTGAGGCGCAGCGTTCGCGTAGTCGTTGCACGCCTTACACGTGCGTCTTTTCCCCCCGCGATTCAACGAGGCAAAATTTGTACATGTATATAAGGTTATTGTTTTTGTGATTTTTTTATTTCTTAGCCTACTCATATACTAAAACAATTATTGACTGGTGAGCCATTGAAATATGATGTGATATTCACCGACAGAAAGTCATTTTGACCGAGGCGATGTCATCTATCGGTGAATATCACATCATATTCATTTGCTCACTAGCCAATTATTGTATAATAATAACCGACACAAAATTGTAACGGTTAGTAAGATCTTTTATGTTTCATATGTTTTTATTAGCCAAATGTTTATGTGCTATATAAGCATTGTAAAATATATCCCAAACTCTGTTTATACGTTGTAGCAGACATTAAACCGAAATATATTATACGAGATACCAAACTCTGTATATATACGTTGTAGAATACAACATACAGAAATATCAAATATATCATCGAAATATCATAAACTTTTTTATATGTAGCATACGACAGGTAGAAATATGAAATATATCACAAACCACGTGAACGTTGACTGATCATGTTATTTATTATCTGGAAAATGGAACGTATAGACTAGAACAACATTTGATAAATTACAACATTTGCTGAATAGCAATATTTTTATGTACCGAGTTAAACTTTAAGTATATTCTATATCATGAATATATTATGTGTTATAACATTTTGTATTATAACATGTATAAATCATGTGTAATGAAACATTTTGTAGCATATCAAAGTATTTAAATAAGACACAAATTTATTGTGAGCAAAAATTCAAAAAAAAATCTTTAAGGAAAAAAATACCAGTCGTCATAAAAATTACAGTGTTTATAGAATCTTGTATGATCAATGATAATTTAGTTAAAACTTTCAAACTTTTGAACCATCTGATCAAGACTGAAACTACGAAGTTTAGTGAAAAAGTTCCCGGACTAACGTAATATCACGAAGTTTGATTAAATACACGATAGGAAATACAGAATGTGATTCTTTTAAAAGTTATAAACATTTCAAGTACTGAAATTAATATGAATTCACAATGTTTTTTGGTATACATGCATAGTAGGGTGTACGAGACGCTGTGACGTCACTAGTAACGCTTAAAAACAGAATAATAACGCTTCAATAAAAACTGACGGAAATTGCGACTGTGTGAAGAATTATAAACATCAACGTTTTTGAGATATCGACCAAGTGTGGGAACGTTCTGACTATACCTCATATTTCATTAAATATTTTCTAAACAGCTTTATAGCATGTTATTTTTTAACGATGTCATGTCCCATAAAACAGGTTCTTTTCTAAATTATCATATACATTATAATCATCCACACCACTGCCATCATCATCATCATTATCATTATCATCATCACATCATAATTATCATCATCGTCATAATGAGTGTTGTTATTATCGTTATTCATATCATAAAGTTGAGTATTATTGAAAATGAACAAATTAGTCAAGACAACATTCAGAGATGAATTATCATTTCACAAGAAATTAATAAACATTTGTTTGCAAAAATATTTTAACAAAATAAACAGGTGGCCGGAGACTTTAAACGGTAATAGTGTTAGGTGTTTATTATATTAAATTGTTGGTAAAACATGATGCTATAAACCCTCTGTTTAATGTACTTATATGAGCCGCGTCACGGATGCGCAGGCTGGTCTGGTTCCATGCTGGTCGCAAACGCACTATGTTGGTTTTGTCGTGACGCGGCTCATATTAAGTTGTTTAGGCAAATAGCAAATCAGCAAGAAACATGTAGACTTTTCCATGAAATGATATCACATGTTATATGCATGGAATAATGAAATATAAATGATATATAATATAAAAAGATGTTAAATCACAGAGTTACAAATATACATCAGTATTAATGCACTGTAAATTACTCTTGTCATTCCGTGCTTTAAGTACATACTTAATGCGTTTCTTCAATCGACAATATATATTGTTAGAACATATACAGTGTCTTTCTTCAACATAATATATATATATTGTTAGCACAATGTTGACCATATAAAATCACGTCATTTCTTATGATGATTAATTAGTTAATTAAATTGTTCTTTTATCTTACTTATATACGTACATGGTATCTGTAAAACAGCAGGTTATATGCCGTAAAACGTCTTTAAATAGACCTATCGTAAGTTCACATACCCTAAAACCTTCATACTTCATTTATCACCATTATACAATGTACATATCTATAGCCATTTATTTCAACAACGTTATTTTCTGGATATTGAACGGTTACCATTGGAGAATGGTTTTCACGAGTTTATTGTAATCCAGGGTTTGATACATGTCACGTGCATCCACGTGCATCACATACGTCACGTGTATCCAATCCAAACATTGTCCATCTTTATCTCTCGTTAATAAACACAGGAATCGTTATTGGAGAGCTATAAAGTAATCACAGTTTAACATTAGTTTATAACCATTCCTTAATCAATCATTGTTTATTTCAGTATGTGTCCCTAAAATAGGCAACACGTGCGATTTCTTTAAACGCTTCAAGTCGGACAGGAAACTTATCGGCGGGAGACTTCGCCTTCTCCTCTCGGGTAACTCGTGTATTCCGTTATCATCGGGTAAAGAAGGAAGACCATCACGTGACCATCTTCTTTTAGCTTGATATGTGTCCAATCTTGATAGGCTTCTACGTTTTGTAGCATAACCATTTGACGTTGTTTCTTCATCAAACCTCTGTTCACTCAATGACGTCATGTTGGACATATTACTCAATGACGTCATGTTGGACATATTACTTATTTCTGTTCCGGCGTATCTCTCAGAGTTCAGTACTTGGCTGTCACATTTATATTCTCCTTAAAGAAATGGAATAAAAAATATTTAGTGTTAAATTGTATAATTTACTAAATAAGCTTTAATTTTTAAACATGATATTTGAAGTTATACTTTTATCCATGAAGGAATTTTATCATAAATGAATGGAAATTGATAATGAATTTGAGCCGCGTCACGGCAAAACCAACATAATGGGTTTGAGACCAGCATGGATCCAGACCAGCCTGCGCATCCGCGTAGTCTGATCAGGATCCATGCTGTTCGCTTACCAACTCTATTACAAGTAGAGAAACTGATAGCGAACAGCATGGATCCTGATCAGACTGCGCGGATGCGCAGGCCGGTCTGGATCCATGCTGGTCGCAAACCCATTATGTTGGTTTTGTCGTGACGCGGCTCATTTGTCTACAATATAGTTTGATGTATAAATAAAGCCAGCAGTATTGATGTACATACGTTCTGTTCTAACGCCTGTCTTCGAGGTTTTCGTTTGTATTTTGCTACCTGTGTTCTGCTCAACGAGTCCTGTATGGAGAATATGTATAAACTCAAATATAGTAGAAAATAAGAAATAAATAAACTTATACAAACAACATTAAACTGAGATACCGGAAATGAAACAAATTATACAAAAAAAGACCACAAAGAACAGTTTCTGAGGAAAAGGTACTTCACACAGACAAATGTTTTAAATATAAACTTATTAAATTTAGGTCTAAGATAAAGATATACATGTATATAAGAATACATAGTCATACAACGTTTGATAACATAAAAGAAACATTTTAAAACAACAACATCACGCGTCATATCATAAATGAACGTAGTTTTAGATTGTGACGTAATGTACAATATTATTCCGCTTTAAAACAATTTTATGAGTAAATAATGTGAAACAATCTGTCTGTAATATACTCGTACATGCACGTTTTAATTATGTCAACTTTTGATAAATTACAAATTGTTCACGTATTATATAACGACAAGTCAGGTTTTCTCAATTACATAATTCGCTCAGATGATAGAAATTTGTCAGCTTGAAGCCATTGTCAGAAATGTTTCATCTTATATAACCGACGTATAAGTGTGTTAAAATGCTCGACAAATGCAGTCCGACAAGGGGAAAATACACGCTCATGAATATGTTACAACTTTCTAACATTTCAGTGTGATAAATTGTATATTCACTAAAAAAAGTACTTTATTTATTAGATGCTTTTTAGCAGACAGTAAAATTATGTCCTAAAATCTTCAAAGTAGCCGATCCTGATGTTAGTAACAAGACTATAGACCGTTCATAAATTTATCGAAATGATTTCAGAAATGTACGCCGTCATCAGGAACACGTACACGAGAGGCACATAAAAGTAACTCGCATCATGCTATAAAAATGTAACACAAAAATCATAACAGTATTATTTTTCATCTTGAACTTTCTGGAGTTGTGATTTGTTGATTTGACATTAAAGAAAGAGCATGATGCTTAGTGGAAAAAGTCAGTTAAAATGAAATAATTCACTTCAAAAAAAATAGAAAAGTTTTTTTCCCAGATCAAATTAAAAATTTGTACAAACTATATTTTTAGCGACATGTGAGATATTTGTATACAATAAGTTCTCAGTGACATGTGAGGAATTTGTATACAATATGTTCTCAGTGACATGTGATATATTTGTATACACTATGTTCTCAGTGACATGTGTGATATTTGTATACACTATGTTCTCAGTGACATGTGTGATATTTGTATACACTATGTTCTCATGCAGTGACATGTGATATATTTGTATACACTATGTTCTCAGCGACATGTGAGATATTTGTATGCACTATGTTCTCATGCAGTGACATGTGAGATATTTGTATACACTATGTACAGTGACATGTGATATATTTGTATACACTATGTACAGTGACATGTGATATATTTGTATACACTATGTTCTCAGTGACATGTGATATATTTGTATACACTATGTTCTCAGTGACATATGTGTGATATTTGTATACACTATGTTCTCAGTGACATGTGTGATATTTGTATACACTATGTTCTCATGCAGTGACATGTGATATATTTGTATACACTATGTTCTCAGCGACATGTGAGATATTTGTATGCACTATGTTCTCATGCAGTGACATGTGAGATATTTGTATACACTATGTACAGTGACATGTGATATATTTGTATACACTATGTACAGTGACATGTGATATATTTGTATACACTATGTTCTCAGTGACATGTGATATATTTGTATACACTATGTTCTCAGTGACATGCGTGATATTTTTATACACTATGTTCTCAGTGACATGTGATATATTTGTATATACTATGTTCTCAGTGACATGTGATATATTTGTATAAACTATGTTCTCAGTGACATGTGAGATATTTGTATACACTATGTTCCCAGTGACATGTGATATATTTGTATACACTATGTTCCCAGTGACATGTGAGATATATGTATAAACTATGTTCTCAGTGACATGTGATATATTTGTATACACTATGTTCCCAGTGGCATGTGAGATATTTGTATACACTAAGTTCTCAGTGACATGTGAGATATTTGTATACACTATGTTCTCAGTGACATGTGAGATATATGTATACAGTTTGTTCCCAGTGACATGTGAGAAATTTGTATACACTATGTTCCCAGTGACATGTGAGATATTTGTATACACTATGTTCTCAGTGACATGTGAGATATATGTATACACTATGTTCCCAGTGACATGTGAGATATTTGTATACACTATGTTCCCAGTGACATGTGAGATATTTGTATACACTATGTTCCCAGTGGCATGTGAGATATTTGTATACACTATGTTACCAGTGACATGTGAGATATTTGTATACACTATGTTCCCAGTGACATGTGAGATATTTGAATGCACTATGTTCTCATGCAGTGACATGTGAGATATTTGTATACACTATGTTCCCAGTGACATGTGAGATATTTGTTTACACAATGTACAGTGACATGTGATATATTTGTATACACTATGTTCCCAGTGACATGTGAGATATTTGTTTACACTATGTACAGTGACATGTGATATATTTGTATACACTATGTTCTCAGTGACATAGTGTATACAAATATCTCACATGTCACTGAGAACATAGTTTATACAAATATCTCACATGTCACTGAGAACATAGTGTATACAAAAATCTCACATGTCACTGAGAACATAGTGTATACAAATATCTCACATGTCACTGAGAACATAGTTTTTACAAATATCTCACATGTCACTGAGAACATAGTTTATACAAATATCTCACATGTCACTGAGAACATAGTTTATACAAATATCTCACATGTCACTGAGAACATAGTGTATACAAATATCTCACATGTCACTGGGAACATAGTGTATACCATATGTACAGTGACATGTGAGATATTTGTATACACTATGTACAGTGACATGTGAGATATTTGTATACACTATGTTTCCAGTGACATGTGAGATATTTGTATACACTATGTTCTCAGTGACATGTGAAATATTTGTATACACTATGTTCCCAGTGGCATGTGAGATATTTGTATACACTATGTTCTCAGTGACATGTGAGATATTTGTATAAACTATGTTCTCAGTGACATGTGAGATATTTGTATAAACTATGTTCTCAGTGACATGTGAGATATTTGTATAAACTATGTTCTCAGTGACATGTGAGATATTTGTATACACTATGTTCTCAGTGACATGTGAGATTTTTGTATACACTATGTTCTCAGTGACATGTGAGATATTTGTATAAACTATGTTCTCAGTGACATGTGAGATATTTGTATACACTATGTCACTGAGAACATAGTGTATACAAATATATCACATGTCACTGTACATAGTGTAAACAAATATCTCACATGTCACTGGGAACATAGTGTATACAAATATATCACATGTCACTGTACATTGTGTAAACAAATATCTCACATGTCACTGGGAACATAGTGTATACAAATATCTCACATGTCACTGCATGAGAACATAGTGCATACAAATATCTCACATGTCTCTGGGAACATAGTGTATACAAATATCTCACATGTCACTGGGAACATAGTTTATACAAATATCTCACATGTCACTGAGAACATAGTGTATACAAAAATCTCACATGTCACTGAGAACATAGTGTATACAAATATCTCACATGTCACTGAGAACATAGTTTATACAAATATCTCACATGTCACTGAGAACATAGTTTATACAAATATCTCACATGTCACTGAGAACATAGTTTATACAAATATCTCACATGTCACTGAGAACATAGTGTATACAAATATCTCACATGTCACTGGGAACATAGTGTATACCATATGTACAGTGACATGTGAGATATTTGTATACACTATGTACAGTGACATGTGAGATATTTGTATACACTATGTTCCCAGTGACATGTGAGATATTTGTATACACTATGTTCTCAGTGACATGTGAAATATTTGTATACACTATGTTCCCAGTGGCATGTGAGATATTTGTATACACTATGTTCTCAGTGACATGTGATATATTTGTATACACTATGTTCTCATTGACATGTGAAATATTTGTATACACTATGTTCCCAGTGGCATGTGAGATATTTGTATACACTATGTACAGTGGCATGTGAGATATTTGTATACACTATGTTCTCAGTTATATGTGCTCACATGTCACTGAGAACATAGTTTATACAAATATCTCACATGTCACTGAGAACATAGTGTATACAAATATCTCACATGTCACTGGGAACATAGTGTATATCATATGTACAGTAACATGTGAGATATGTGTATACACTATGTTCCCAGTGACATGTGAGATATTTGTATACACTATGTACAGTGACATGTGATATATTTGTATACACTATGTACAGTGACATGTGAGATATTTGTATACACTATGTTCTCAGTGACATGTGATATATTTGTATACACTATGTTCTCAGTGACATGTGAAATATTTGTATACACTATGTTCCCAGTGGCATGTGAGATATTTGTATACACTATGTTCTCAGTGACATGTGATATATTTGTATACACTAAGTTCCTAGTGACATGTGATATATTTGTATACACTATGTTCTCAGTGACATGTGAGATATTTTTATACAGTATGTACAGCGACATGTGATATATTTGTATACACTATGTTCTCAGTGACATGTGATATATTTGTATACACTATGTTCTAAGCGACATGTGATATATTTGTATATACTATGTTCTCAGTGACATGTGATATATTTGTATACACTATGTTCTAAGCGACATGTGATATATTTGTATACACTAAGTTCCTAGTGACATGTGATATATTTGTATACACTATGTTCTCAGTGACATGTGAGACATTTTTATACACAATGTACAGTGACATGTGATATATTTGTATACACTATGTTCTCAGTGACATGTGAAATATTTGTATACACTATGTTCTCAGTGACATGTGAGATATTTGTATACACTATGTTCTCAGTGACATGTGAGATTTTTGTATACACTATGTTCTCAGTGACATGTGAGATATTTGTATACACTATGTTCTCAGTGACATGTGAAATATTTGTATACACTATGTTCCCAGTGGCATGTGAGATATTTGTATACACTATGTTCTCAGTGACATGTGATATATTTGTATACACTAAGTTCCCAGTGACATAAGATATATTTGTATACACTATGTTCTCAGTGACATGTGAGATATTTGTATACACTATGTACAGCGACATGTGATATATTTGTATACACTAAGTTCCCAGTGACATGTGATATATTTGTATACACTATGTTCTCAGTGACATGTGAGATATTTTTATACACTATGTACAGCGACATGTGATATATTTGTATACACTATGTTCTCAGTGACATGTGATATATTTGTATACACTATGTTCTAAGCGACATGTGATATATTTGTATATACTATGTTCTCAGTGACATGTGAGACATTTTTATACACAATGTACAGTGACATGTGATATATTTGTATACACTATGTTCTCAGTGACATGTGATATATTTGTATACACTATGTTCTAAGCGACATGTGATATATTTGTATACACTATGTTCTCAGTGACATGTGAGACATTTTTATACACAATGTACAGTGACATGTGATATATTTGTATACACTATGTTCTCAGTGACATGTGAGATATTTGTATACACTATGTTCTAAGCGACATGTGATATATTTGTATACACTATGTTCTCAGTGACATGTGAGACATTTTTATACACAATGTACAGTGACATGTGATATATTTGTATACACTATGTTCTCAGTGACATGTGAGATATTTGTATACACTATGTTCTCAGTGACATGTGAGATATTTGTATACACTATGTTCTCAGTGACATGTGAGATATTTGTATACACTATGTTCTCAGTGACATGTGATATATTTGTATACACTATGTTCTCAGTGACATGTGAGATATTTGTATACACTATGTTCTCAGTGACATGTGAGATATTTGTTTACACTATGTTCTCAGTGACATGTGAAATGTTCTCAGTGACATGTGAGATATTTGTATACACTATGTTCCCAAAGACATGTGAGATATTTGTATACAAACTTTTTCAGTGATACGTGACATAATTTTAAGCACAGCATTTAAAGAGTGATATGACGGTTATTTGAACATTGTAAAAGTGAACATAATGTGTGTCCGGTGATATATGATACAAACAATGTTTGATATATGTGAAACGTTTCCTACTTACTTTCTGCAGACATCTTCAATAAGTTATAAAACATATATTTATAAAAAGTACAATTTTCAGCTATTTCTGAAATATGATAACAATATTGTGTATTTTGAGCATAATTTTGGTAATTTCAAATGTAATTTTATTTTCAGTGATGAAAGCTAAAAACTTGAACTGTTTACATTATGAAGTGTGTTATTCCAATGCCAGAACTAATCAAACACAATTATAAGTGCACTGCAGTAAAAAGAAACGTCAAAATTCGTGTGAGACAAAAAACTGCACTCCGGTAAAATATGAAAGTTACTTTATCATGCTAAGTTCAGACAAACTTTGCCAAGGAATAATCTTGTTAGATATATAAAGTCATGAAACGTTAAACATATTTGAGCCGCGTCACGACAAAACCAACATACTGGGTTTGCGACAAGTATGGATCCAGGCCAGCCTGCGCGTCCGCGCAGTCTGATCAGGATCCATGCTGTTCGCTTTCCAACTCTTTTACAAGTAGAGAAACTGATAGCGAACAGCATGGATCCTGATCAGACCGCGCGGACGCGCAGGCTGGTCTGGATCCATGCTGGTCGCAAACCCATAATGTTGGTTTTGTCGTGACGCGGCTCATTTATGGTTTGAAACATTATAAAACGGGTATGGAACGTTATATAAGGGCGTTAAATGTGTACGGAAAGGGTACATTTTATAATACTGAACAATTGTAACGTTACTTTTCATTGGATAATCGTGGCGTTTATTCAATCTTTATATACACGGCTGCTGTTAATTTATGAGGCACTTTTCATTTTTCGTCAAATAATAGAATTTTGGCAAGTTATAAATTCATATTAAAATTTTTGAAAGGCCGTAAATAAAGGTATATTTGTAATATAACAATCGGCCTACGGGTCGGGTTATATAGGAATAAAACGTTTATACTGGGTGATAACTTATTAAGAATATTTATATCTAAAAACACACGGGTGTTAAATGTAATCAGAGGATATGCCACGTTTTGCATAACTAAGAACAGAATTTGATATAAATGATTTACCTACTATATTTTCTAGTGTGTTTGGGTTTGTTTACCCTCGCCACCGGACAGAGACCATATGGGCAAACATAAAAAAAAGACTCATCCTTCACTGACAGCTATACATGTATATAGATTAATGTCCATTGTGTGCGAAGTTAAGTCTTATACAAGAATAAGCGATATACAACTTTATAAAGTCATAAATGTGTATAAAGTAAGGGAGACTTTATGAATTAACAAATCATGTGTTGAGAAGCAGGGATTTTAAGATATTAGGTATAAAGGAAATGTGTCGCGCCATGACAAAACCAACATAATGGGTTTGCGACCAGCATGGATCCAGACCAGCCTGCGCATCCGCACAGTCTGATCAGGATCCATGCTGTTCGCTATCAGTTTCTCTACTTGTAAGGGTTGGTAAGCGAACAGCATAGATCCTGATCAGACTGCGCGGATGCGCAGGCTGGTCTGGATCCATGCTGGTCGCAAACGCACTTTATTGGTTTTGTCGTGACGCGGCTCAAATGTGTCATCTCAGCGGGTACAATGTGCATTTATTTTGACTGATTAATACATACCACATAAACAGAGCGTTGTCGAAACGACTACAGAAAAAAATTAACATGATTTTCTGTTTGTATAATTCTACAATCCACATGTCGCTAAGAAATTGGGAATGTGATATTGTTTAATTAAATATTGTTATTTTCTCCTCAAACTTTATTTCTTAAAAATATATAATCAAGAACTGTTTATCTATCGACTAGGATTTATTCGTCGGACAACGTCTGGTCAACGGGAATGCCGACGAAAGGGTGGACAGTTGAACGTTATGTCAATATACCCACCACCTACAAAGAGGTGTGGGGATTATAGGAGAGAAACTTTCAATCTACCTATCTATATGTTCCGATTATCATACTTTGATGTTTTTATTTTATATTCGGATTCGTGCACAATTCCTTATGTAACACAATTAGTTTACCAATCCTACAAAATTCGGTGTTACGTGTAAATTTTGTGCCTTTCGATCATCAAATTTATCATAAAACAGTAACTATGGCTTTTGACTAACAATGAGAAGAGTAAAGAAGCACTAACTAATACTTTCTTATATTCCTTTAAGTCATTAAAGTTGCCATGACAGAACAGTTACAATTGTCAATGTATATATTTGACATCCCAGTACAGCCCTCACCTGACATTTGCGCATGTTAAATAGTGGACATGCACTGAATTTATGCATAACTATTTCCACATCTATCCATAAATAACAACATTGATTCCCGGACACGACGACAAAATAATTTACTTTAAAGTCACATTACCTTTCAAGAATAAGTGTGGAATTTAAGCTAAAATCTGGGACCTGCGTGTGACATGTCGTCTCAATGTGCCACCCACTTATAGAATATTGTTTAAGGTTCATTCATAAGAAAGTTGGAGACCATTTCACAGTCAATACGTTGTCTTAATGTTCAGTACATTTAAATGTATATCTATTTCAAAATTCTAAATCCATAAATAGCAACCCTATGCACAAAACACGAACATTTATATTCACAATTATATCGGGACTTTTGCCATACAAGTTTGACCTTGACCTTTGAACTACAGACGTTATTTTTGCGCACAATAGTCATCTTAATGTGCAATACATATAATCAAATCAATCGTTTGTAGACCGGTCATGAACATCGGTGAATTTTTATGCAAAACTTACTTCTAAGGTTTAAGTGACATTGACATTTGAGTCTTGCATGAATGTGCGGATGTAATTAAAAATTTGCAATCATATCATGAATATGGACGTAACAGTGTGACCTTAGCATGTCGTATCTCAAAATAGATCATCTTATGACAAAATAACGGACTGGACCAAAAGCGGACAGACTGACAGACAATCAAAAGCTATATGCATATAAATAGGTTCTGCAAACGTTTAACTCTCTCAATCAGAACTCGAATTCAAGAAGTGGTCACGTGACATTCTATAACGTTAAACATTGTGTCACCGGTAACAGCCATGTCCAAGACTGTGAAGGTATTTATTTATTTTTCGTTTTGTCTTTTTCGATATTTGAATAATAGACATATACCATGTACTGGTCAAATATTTGTTAAATAGTTTCTATCTAAGCATATTGGGAAAAGTACAAGAGCTACAATGGAAAAAAATATGTACCATTTGAATTCGAAAATATTTGCGTGGATAATTGTATATATTTTTAGTAAAATGTTGAAAGATATTACGAAGAAAAAGCAAAAACATTTTAATATCATAGACTCGGCCATAAGCATCGACCCTATGTAACCATAAACAAATGTCACGTGATCCCTATGTAACCATAAACAAATGTCACGTGATCCCTATGTAACCATAAACAAATGTCACGTGATCACCAACCCTATGTAACCATAAACAAATGTCACGTGATCTCCAACCCGCAGCCTTACAAATATTTATTTAAGCCAATCGGAAGAATACGCCCAATTCCTTAGCGACAAGACAAACTTAAAGATACGACATCAACTATTATATAATTATATAAACATAAATATTGATGTTAACATTCTTCACTGTAATTTTGTTTGAAATAAAAATTAATATTTACAGAAATAAAAAAAAAGAAGATAAATAAAATCAATACAGTAAATAACCATTAGAAATAAGAATAAGCACGTGTCGTAAGTGTATTCACATACATGTATATATTCGTTTTGTACGACAATGAAAATGTATTTATAAAACATAGAGCATTTGTAACACAATAACACGGATATATAAATTCACGACACATTGCAAAATTGAGTAAAAGACACAAAAAGTGAGAAAGGTAGAAATTGTTAAATGTGTTTAAATACTAACCCGTCGATTTCGCTGCATTAAAAGAAGACCAAAATGCATTTTAATATACATACAGCTAGTCAAGTTTAAAGTATGGATCATAAACAAGAAACAAAAACTGACGTGAAGAATGTAAACTAGTAAACACAAACATGTCACAACCAGAACTTGTTCTTATCCTTTTATTGATAATTTACATCTTAAATAAAGCAATAATTATGTCTGAAATATTATTTAAGATTGATTGGTTTGTATACATGTATAAGTTTGTTAACAAATACGTGTTGACCAACAACAAGTAATAAAAACAAAGAAGACATAACTAAAAATGATAACATATGTAAAAGTTACAAACTATAAATAAAATGATTGTACGCTCCGGGTTGTAATATAATTGATCACCATTCATCATCATTATTTGAGCCGCGTCACGACAAAACCAACATAAGGCGTTTGCAACCAGCATGGATCAAGACCAGCATGCGCATTCGCGTAGTCTGATCAGGATCCATGCTGTTCGCTATCAGTTTCTCTACTTGTTATAGAGTTTGTAAGCGAACAACATGGATCCTGATCAGACTGCGCGGATGCGCAGACTTGTCTGGATCCATGCTGTTCGCAAACCCATTTTGTTGGTTTTGTCATGACACGGCTCATTTTATGTTCATTGTTTTAATACTGTATATAATAATAATAATTTCATGTATCATAAACTATTGTTTAAGATGCCCGTCATGTTGGCTTATGTTTAGATCAATTATTTCAATTCTGTTTCTTTAAAGAAGGAAATCATATGTTTATCATTCTTAAATTGGTACAAAAATATCTATCTTTAACCTAATCAGTGCTTTGTTAAATATTGACAAATTTACACAAGTCGACCATAATGGCCTCACATTGCTCACCTGAGGTTATGATCAAAAACCCCAAAACACAATAAAAAAATCTACCAATTGGATTTTCTTGTAGGATATTGTTTCAAAAATGTATTGATAATGGTCTAAGTGATTAAAAATGACCATTTGATTAAAACTTGCCAAGCAGTTGAGCTTTGATTACATTGGCTATTTTGTGTTAAACAGATCATTGATAAAATAGTGTCATCACTATTGGCCAATGAGTTGAGAATGAGATATTGTTAAAGGTAAAATATAAACGGCGGACGAGGACAGACGGACAGACGGATAATGGACAACAGAGAACGCACACATTGCAATTACAATAGGTCAACTTGACCATATTGTATTTAGTTGACCTAAATAAAGGCACTGAGCGTAGTACAAAGTTGACAAATTTACAAGGAAAATGAGAGTAGTACTTGAATGAGTATTGACAAAACTTACAGGAAGTATTAAGTATTGACAATTATACTAGAAAATAATGAAACTGTACTTTGTTAAGTATTGGCAATTTTAAAACGTGTCTGTTTTACTTGTATAGCGTCAATTTATTAGACATGTCTAAATTACTTGCATAACGTTAATGTATTTGACATGTCTATATTACTTGTATAACGTTAATGTATTAGACATGTCTATATCACTTGAATAGCGTTAATGTATTTGACATGTCTTATTTACTTGTATAACGTTAATGTATTAGACATGTCTGTATTTACTTGTATAACGTTTATGTTATTTGACATGTCTATATACTTTGTTTATAGCGTTAATGTATTTGACTTGTCTATATTTACTTGTATAGCGTTAATGTATTTTGGACATGCTTATATAACTTTTGTACGTTAATGTATTAGACATGTTTATATTACTTGTATAACGTTAATGTATTATGACATGTTCTGTATTACTTGTATAACAGTTTAATGTATTTGACATGTCTATATTACTTGTGTATAACGTTAATGTATTAGACGTGTCTGTATTATTTGTATAACGTTATGTATTAGACATGTCTGTATTACTTGTTATAACGTTAATGCATTACATGTCTATATTACTTGTATAACGTTAATGTATTTGACATGTCTATATTACTTGTATAACGTTAATGTATTAGACGGTCTGTATTACTTGTATAACGTTTAATGTATTTTTGACAATGTCTATATTTACTTTGTATAACGTTAATGTATTAGACGTTGTCCTGTATTACTTGTATAGGCGTTAAATGTATTTTTGACATGTCTATTTTACTTGCATAGCGTTAATGTATTTGACATATCTATATTAACTTGTATAGCGTTAATGTATTTGACATTCTATATTACTTGGTTTAGCGTTAATGCTATTTGACATGTCTAATTACTTGTATTAACGTTAATGTATAAGACGTGTCTATATTTCTTGTATAGCGTTAATGTATAAGACGTTGTCTATATTTTTCTTATAACGATTATGTATTTGACATGGTCTATATTACTTGTATACGTTAATGTATAAGAACGTTAATTTTCTGTATTAGCGTAATGTATTTGACATGCTTATATAACTTGTTGTAACGTTTAATGTATAAGACATGGTCTATATTTCTTTGTATAAGCGTTAATGTATTAGACGTGTCTATATTTTTGTATAACGTTAATGTATTTGACATGCTTATATAACTTGTGTAACGTTAATGTATTTGACATGTCTATATTACTCTGTCTATAACGTAATGTATTAGACATGTCTATATTACTTGTATAGCGTCAATGGGTATTTGACATGTCTATATTACGTTACGTCAATGTATTTGACATGTCTATATTACTTGTATACGTTAATGTATTGACATGTTCTATATTTCTTGTATACGTTAATTGTTATTTGACGTGTCTATATTTCTTGTATAGCGTAATGTATTCAGACGTGTTCTATATTACTTTGGTATAGCGTAAATGTTATTGACATGTCTATATTTACTGTATAGCGTTAATGTATTTGACATGTCATATTACTTTATAACGTTAATGTTATAAGACGTGTCTATATTTCTTGTATAGCGTTAATTGTATTAGACGTGTCTATATTTCTTGTAGTAGCGTTAATGTATTTGACATGTCTATATTACTTGTATAACGTTAATGTATTTGACATGTCTATATTACTTGTATAACGTTAATGTATTTGACATGTCTATATTACTTAATGTATAATGTCTATATTTACTTGTATAATGTATTTGACATGTCTATATTACTTGTATAACGTTAATGTATTTGACATGTCTATATTACTTGTATAACTATATTTGTATAACGTTAATGTATTTGATAGCATGTCTGTCTATTACTTGTATAACGTTTAATATATTAGACGTGTCTATATTACTTGTATAGCGTTAATGTATTTGACATGCTTATATAACTTGTGTAACGTTATGTATAAGACATGTCTATAATTACTTGTATAACGTTAATGTATTTGACATGTCTATATTACTTGTTTATAGCGTTAATGTATTTGACATGTCTATATTACTTGTATAACGTTAATGTATTTGACATGTCTATATTACTTGTATAGCGTTAATGTATTTGACATGTCTATATTACTTGTATAGCGTTAATGTATTTGACATGTCTATATTACTTGTATAGCGTTAATGTATTTGACATGTCTATATTACTTGTATAGCGTTAATGTATTTGACATGTCTATATTACTTGTATAGCGTTAATGTATTTGACGTGTCTATATTTCTTGTATAGCGTTAATGTATTTGACATGTCTATATTACTTGTATAACGTTAATGTATTTGACATGTCTATATTACTTGTATAGCGTTAATGTATTTGACATGTCTCTATTACTTGTATAACGTTAATGTATTAGACGTGTCTGTATTACTTGTATAACGTTAATGTATTTGACATGTCTCTATTACTTGTATAACGTTAATGTATTTGACATGTCTATATTACTTGTATGAAGAACATTTACTCTACCATTCATTTAATGCATGTGTCACAATAATAAGTGATATTATATGACATATTTAGTCAACTCAAATAAATGATATAATTATGATACCTTGTATTCCTTATCTTTTTGTGACATCACTCTCCGTTTTTTACAAGGCTGAAATAACAAACATAATATTTATGTAGAAAAAAAACATATCTAATAAAAGCAATTAGTTTCTTTAGGAATGTTACTCATTTAGTATAATTTTACAAATATTCTAAAAATATTAATATGCTGTATTTTAGGAATTGAATTTCCGCATCAATACAGTCATGTGCTTAAATCAGAAGATGATCATTTGGACAAACATGTGTTATAAACAAATTTCTTTTGATCTACAAGTATAAAACATAGTAAATCTGTAAAGATTTTAAAATATGACACAATCAACTACACTTTTTTTTAATAAACTAATTTTCCTTGCATTTTAACTACAAATATTGTTAAATACATGTATACTGAAATTAAACTGTAAATATACAGTAATTATACTATTGTACTGTAATTATACTGTAAATATATTGTATTATACTGTAATTATATTGTAAATATACTGTTATTATACTGTAAATTAATTGTTATTTTACTGTTATTATACTGTTATTATACTGTAATTTTACTGTACACACGAGTACTGTAAATACACTGTAATTATACTTACAAATAGATAAATGATGACAATAAAACCAATGTTATATACAATATAAAGTACACTAAGAATTGTTAGCACGATGTTTTCCACTCTATCAGCATATGGTCGATTATGGTTCAATCTTGTAACTATCGCGTGCCACGTGCACACTGCAGATAACATCACCATAGAAACTAATAAATATTTATCCTGAAAATAAAATAAAAATTACATGAAATACAACCTTAACGGGGTCATCTTAAAAACGTTAAGTTGTATAAATCCTAAACGCGATTATATTAAAGTCGTATTAGCTTTGTAATTGTACAAGGGAGGTAACTCGTAAAATATGACCATTTCAAAAGAAACGCAGTTATCTTTCTCCGATAATAAAGGCAAACAAATACCAGATTGATTTTATAACGTTTATATTACAAGAGGAAAATTTTTCAGTCGCATATAATTATGTTATGTGACTCTGACCATGTAAAAGAGATAGCACTAACCATATTCGTTATTTATCGTTGACCATATACATGACGCAACACTGAACATGTACGTTATTTAACACTGACCATATAAATGATGTAACACTGACCATATATGTTATTTATGACTGACCATGTACGTTATTTAAGACTGACCATATACGTGATTTAACGTTGACCATATACTTGACGCACTACTGACCATATACGTGATTTAACACTTAACATGTCCGTGATTTAACATTGACTATGTAGGTGATTTAACACTGACCACATACATGACTCAGCACTGACCATACACGTGATTTAAAACTGTCTATATACGTGATTCAACATTGACCATATGCATGACGCAACACTGACCATATACATGATTTAACACTGACCATATACATGATTTAACACTGACCACATACATGACGCAGCACTGACCATACACGTGATTTAAAACTGACCATATACATGATTTAACATTGACTATATACATGATTTAACATTGACTATGCACGTGATTTAACACTGACCACATACATGACGCAGCACTGACCATACACGTGATTTAAAACTGACCATATACATGATTTAACATTGACTATATACATGATTTAACATTGACCATATACGTGATTTAAAACTGACTATATACATGATTTAACATTGACTATATACATGATTTAACATTGACTATGCACGTGATTTAACACTGACAACATACATGACGCAGCACTGACCATACACGTGATTTAAAACTGACCATATACATGATTTAACATTGACTATATACATGATTTAACATTGACCATACACGTGATTTAAAACTGACCATATCCGTGATTTAACATTGACTATGCACGTGATTTAACACTGACCACATACATGACGCAGCACTGACCATACACGTGATTTAAAACATGATTAACTTGACCATATGCGTGATTTAACATTGACTATGTACATGATTTAACACTGACCACATACATGACGCAGCACTGACCATACACGTGATTTAAAACTGACCATATACGTGATTTAACATTGACTTTGTACGTGATTTAACACTGACCACATGCATGACGCACTACTGACCATATGCGTGATTTAACACTGGCTATGTACGTGATTAAACACTGACCACATACATGATTTAACATTGACCATACACGTGATTTAAAACTGACCATATGCGTGATTTAACATTGACTATGTACGTGATTTAACACTGACCACATACATGACGCAGCACTGACCATACACGTGATTTAAAACTGACCATATACGTGATTTAAAACTGACTATATACATGATTTAACATTGACTATATACATGATTTAACATTGACCATATACGTGATTTAACATTGACCATATACGTGATTTAACATCGACCATATACGAGATTTAACATTGACCATATACGAGATTTAACATTGACCATATACGAGATTTAACATTGACCATATACGAGATTTAACATTGACCACTTATGTGATTTAACATTGACCATATGCATGACGCAACACTGACAATATACATGATTTAACACTGACTATATATACATGTTTACACTGACTATTTACCAGAGGTAACACTGGTCATATACATGATGCAGCACTGACCATTAATGTGATATAACACGTACGTGATTCAACATTGACCATTTATGTGATGTAACACCGTCCGTCACATGATCTAATACTGAATCTATACTTGTAGTTATACTGAATATCTCCACATTAGGTAACACTGACAAATAACGTGAATTGAAATCATATTTCATACGTAAAATTTCATGTTTGTATGTGGTTAAACTTTCTATAATACTTGAAATAAAACTTATTGACGTAATACTTACCATATACGTGAGGTAAGATATCCGTGGAAGACTTGAATTTACAACAGATTTGAAAGCAACTGCTGTTAATACAAGTGTGAAAGACAATTGGAGTCTGTTTTGTGGAAGAGTTTTCTCTACTGAGAATGTTGCAAATGCTAAACTACAGATGAGGAACTGAAACATAAAACACAAAAATTGTCATGTCACACATACAAATATCTATAATGAAAATAAAAAAAAAAAAAAAGAAGAGCGATCAGTGATCATATGTGGCGCCTTCATGTTGCAGCAACTGTGTAGCAGGAAACACAAAAATCATTAACAGAACAAAACGCTTTTTTAATAAAGGGCCATAACTGAGCCAAACATCATTCAACCAGAAGACACGGTTTTTAAACTGCAAGTACTTGACGTACTGAATAATCTTGTAAAATTTCATTTAATTTGTATTAGTAGTGTAAGTGAAGTAGTCCGGACAAAACTTTAAAATAAAAATCAATGAAAGCCCATAAATCAGACAAATATTATAAAACCGGAAAATGCCGACGAAATGCACAACTTAACTGTATACTTATCATTCCTGTAAAGTTTGAATAGAATTGCACTAGTAGTTTCTGAGAAGTAGTTCGCACAAGTTTTGAGACGGACAGACAAACCACATTTTTTTTAAACATGATCCCTATAAATTGTCGCTACTTTGTGCATGTATCAGCTTCATTGCTGGCAACACAAAAATCATTAACAGACACACCCATTTTATGCAAAGGCCATAAATCAGCTAAACAAGAAATGTATTCGTAGGACACAGATGCCGCTAAACTCTACACTTGTTTGTAAACCTACTGACTCTTGGTCAAAAATCTTTTGGGCTACGCGCGACCCCAGTCGAAAATTGCAATTTTAGACTTAGTCAAGGGCAATAATTCCAAGAAAAATAGAATATCCACACGAAAAAGCCTAATATGCACAGTTTTACATGTTGATCAACATTTCTGTAAAGTTTGTTGATTTAGCTCAGACACGAAACTCAAACAAGAGGTACACATGACACAATTTTTTGAACAGCATTTACGAAGTCTGGAGAAATCACTCTGTAAATACTGAAAAATCCACAATAAAAACCCCTGGTGCACAACTACAAATATTGATCAAGATTTCTGTAAAGTTTCATGACTCTAGGTTAAATATTTTTTCCGGTACAACCGACAGAATTTGAAAACTGCCTATTGCTACTAAGTCAAGAGCAAAAACTTTGACAAAACTGAATTAATCCACAATCACAACCCAAGGTGCACAACTTCACATGCTAATTAACATTCGTGTAAATTTTGTTGACTCTAGCTCAAACTCTTTTAGAGCTTCATGTGACAGACAAACGAACGGACAGACGGACAAGGGCAAAATTTAAATCCCCACCCCAAAAGAGGGAGCACAATCATTCAACCGGAAAACATGTTTCATATGCGCAAGTACTTTAGCTACCGATCAGCCCTATAAACTTTCATTGAAATTGCATAAGTGGTATTAAAGGAGTACTCCGGACAAACTTTATAATGAAAAATGTAAAAGGGCCATAACTCTGACAAAAATCACTAAATCGGTAAATACCGACGATATGCACAGTAAGACCTAGTAATGATTATTCCTGTAAAGATTGGATAAAATTGAACCAGTTTTTTTCTGAGAAGCAGTCCGTATATTTTTTATGACGAATGGACAGAAAGACGACAACGAAGTGATCTCTTTATGTCTGATCTCTTTATGTCGCCGCTACTCTGTACCCTGTGCATGTGTTGGCACACTGTCAAACACATCTATTTGGCATTTTATTTACTAGGAACTAGTTGGTATTGCTTCGGTAATATTTCTGTATTAGTAAATTTTCTTATAAATAAACAAACATTGAATGCCGTCAATAATAATGATAATAATAATAATAATAACAATAAAAAAAACTTACAGTTATCATGAATATATTCCAAACAAAATAACCTGGACGACGAGCTGCTCGGCATTTTACGGAAAGAGCCGAACGTTTGACGGAATTATCGACCTGGTCTATCACAAGTTCTTTTTTATTACACTCTGTATGTACATATAAATGCCACTCTTGTTCATCAACAAATGATTGTCTGTTAACGACATGATGTTCATCTCTATCTTCTACAAGTTCACATTCACTGATTGGTAATTCTGATGCAACTGTTATAGTTAAATCCTACAATATACAAACATAAATATAGTTAAATAATACAATTTACAAACTTAAATATAGTTAAATAATACAAAATACAAACTTAAATATAGTTAAATAATACCATATACAAATATAAATATAGTTAAAAAATACAAAATTCAAACATCAATATAGTTCAATAATACAATATACAAACTTAATTATAGTTAAATAATACAATATACAAATATAAATATAGTTAAATAATACAATAAACAAACAGATATAGTTAATTAAATAATATAATACACACCCATCAATATAGTTAAATCATACAATATACAAACATAGATATAGTTAAACAATATAATACACACCAATATAGTTAAATCATAAAATATACAAACACAAATATGGTTAAATAATACAATACACACCCATCAATATCGTTAAATCATACATTATGCAAACATCAAAAAAGTTAAATCATACATTATTCAAACATAAATAAGGTGAAATAATACAATATATAAACATTAAGAAATACAAAATTAATTAGTTTTGTTACGTTATAAGATATACAACTGAAGAATAAATTTGTAAGAATAAAATAAAATAAAACATCTTAGTAATACATAAAAATAACAAACAAATTTTCTTTAAAAAAATAATTTTCTGCTAAATTACAAGTTTAAATGAAATTTCCTCGACATCAACTTGAATATCAATAAAAAATAAAATGTATTTGATTCTTCATCAGTACAAACAACCGTCAATATATAATGTAACATCTATCAATAACCACAAATTTACACAAGACACAAAGGGGAAATAACTCTTCCTGGAATAATGAAGCTATCTATTAACATTCGTTTTCCTTTGATACAAAGTGAAGGACAAATATCAGGTTAGAATTGTATAATTTTACACCAGCTGTATATGATACTATTGCTGGTTTACAAACCAAAGAACGAACGAACGAACGAACGAACAAACAAACAAACAAACAAACAAACAAACATTTTCTCATCTTCATGTAGAAGTTATTCTATTTTATGTAATTAAAGGGAATCTTTGTTTTTTTCCGACCCTGTTTATCAACAGTATTTTGCTACTGAAACACTTTGTTAATTGGCTATATATTATCATGAATGTGTGTGTGTGTGCGTGTGTGTGTGTGGGGGGGGATATTCCGTAGCCTATTACTCTTCTATATTTAGAATATAAAGGTTTAAGTTTTTAAAATATAAATAAAGAGTCAAATATTTAGCAATAGTTATATATACAGTAGTTATTTGCAGTATTAGTTTCAAGTTGTTTACCCTATTAGGTGACACGTGTCACTTTCTACATGTTATAAATGTACATGTATTCATGATTTTTACTTCAAAAATTTTAAGTGGAATTATGATAAACCTAAAACTAAAACTACTATAAGTGATAATATTATTATTTCCCGCTCGGAAAATCTGTAAATTCAATATAAATTATATTTTAAAATAATTTATATTTCAATATAAATTATATTTTAATATAAATTATAAATTATATTGACATTTGTATATATAAAATGTAAGTTAGTATGTATAATGTTTATATGGTACTTACATCCACAGTTTAATGTAAAACTATTTTTCTTAACTTATTTTATAAAAGCCAAATTAATCTAGTGTAAAAATTATAAATGATCGAACACATTTTTGTACATAACTATTGTACACTTCATCTAAAAGAACGAGCTTTTCGGCTTTTCTTTCGCTCGCTCACGCTCGCTCGCTATACATGATTACAGGCATCTGACGTATTTACAATATACAATTATTGTGAATGATTTTGGCGGTGTAAATACTTTAAAGCCCTTGAAAAAAAAAAGAATGCAAGGTAGGTGGATTTCTCTTGAATTTATCATTTATGATTGTGACGGAATGCTTTCATTATTTGTTGTAATTCTGTTCCTTATTATTATTAATATTGAGGAGTATCAGATTTTGGATTTACATTCTTATTAGAGTTCAGCAGTCGGGTCACAGACTGAGCCATTAAACCTCATTGATTGACTGAGCCAGCCATTACACCTCATTAATTCTGGCCAATAACTGGTCATTATAACTCACTGAGATGAAATAAAATCCCAGTAGTCTGGTCATTGACTGAGCAAGCCATTACACCTAATTAATTCTGGCCATAAACTGAGTCATCAGATGGGCTCAAACCCCTGACTGAGCCATTTCACCTCACTGAGACGGCTTAAATCCATGTAGCCTGGTCAATACCTGAGCCATTTCACCTCACTATAATGATTCAAATCGTAGTCTGGCCACTGACTGACTGATTGTCTACATTTTTACCGTGATAGGATAGAACCCTGATAATCAGGTTATAGATTTGCGGAGGCTGAAATCTGTTTGTGGTTCAATAAGATATCCAATTATAAAATGTGTTTGTGTCATTTAAAATATTAAATTACTTGTCTATAAATGATATTTAAAACTTTGATTGCTGATACGAGTTTGTCACGTGCTAATAATGTTGGGTGTTTAAAACATACTACCCATGTTTTTTGCATTTGGCAGACGTAATTAACCACCAGTTACTAAATCAACGTCTCTTACATAACGCTTCATTTATTCCATATTGACTTGTTAAACATAGAACTGTGCCAAACAGAAAAAACACACAGATTTAGGCATTTATACTCGGATGATACATATGAGCCGCGTCACGACAAAACCAACATAATGGGTTTGCGACCAGCATGTATCCAGACCAGCCTGCGCATCCGCACAGTCTGATCAGGATCCATGCTGTTCGCTTACATACTCTATAACAAGTAGAGAAACTGATAGCGAACAGCATGGATATCCATGCTGGTCGCAAACACATTATGTTGGTTTTGTCGTGACGCGGCTCATATAATATAATAGACAAATAGTTTTCACTAACATGTGAAATTAGTTTTCAAACAAAGTTCATATTATCCGAGATATTGAAGAAAAACACTTCTGTATAAAAGATTAGATGTGCTGTTGATGAAATATAAATCAATTTTAAATGCGGTTTTAGAGTATTTATACACCATTTTCGTGCATTAACATCTACAGAAACACGGGGATGATTAAAGTAAAACACGGTGATTTAACAAATCCGGGGGCTTCTGCAGATGTTCATGCACAAAAGATGCACTAGTGTTATTCTTGCATCTAATGCGGTATTACCACGTTTCGTAATCTATTTTACGTAAAAAATTTATCAAGCTTTTAGTTTTTCGTCATGCTTTCTTAATGCTGGTATGTTGTCATTGAAAAGTTATACCCTCTGTACATTTGAATGATAGAACAAACACTACTGTACTACAACGTGAGAAAAATGACAGAGAATTCCGTTCTAATATGTAAATACAAAAAAAAATGGTTGAACTGCAAACGGAGAAGTAATTATCATTACGTCATTTGATTTACTGACGTCACATTTTAAGTCACATTACTGCCCAGTCTTTTTAATAGGAAAATAGTGTGAAGGTGTTATTATAGAATAAAATATATTTACCTGTACATCAAAAGGAAAATCGTCGAGTTCTAAATTTTCCATGAAAGTACCCTTTGCTACTCTCTTTTCGTATATAAAAGCTTCCCCCTTCTCATTGTATATTATTCTATGTCTAATCTGTTCCTTTGGATCGCCGAGTGAATTCTCGATGTATAATTTTGGACTCCATAGTCGTGCAAAGTCTATGGCGTCTGCCTGCAACACGTATATACCACAATAATTATGAATATAAAATATTTAAAAGGTTTTTAAAAGAATATTATACTTAAAGAAGAAAAAGGGTTTGCTATATGTGAATGAACAATGTGGCATTGTTAGTAAGAAACAAGAATTAAGAATAAATATTTGAGAAAGAAACAGAGTTTATTGTGAATGACAACCATTTGCACTAATGAGTTATAGATACTACATACATTTTGTATACTTAGATCGCATAAGGATGATATATAGGTTAAGGTGCCCTCACACATAAACCGCGACCTTACTGCGACCTGAAAACTAGTAAAATAGCATTTTTCTTTCGAAAATCGTTGGTTTTCTTTCAAATTTCTCTCGCAGACGGTCCGGGGCTCTGCAGTCTTGTGTTCGGTACGTTTTCTCCATGTCCTCAATACGACCCTTCTACGTCCATTGCGTTTCCACTGCGACTGTATTGCGTCCCCAAGGCGACCCCACGGCGATCATCGGCGACCTAGCTGCGACTGTGCTATGTTCTCTGCGTCCTTACGGCGAATATACGACGACTATTGCGTTTGTCCGGCGACTGTCCTGCGACTGTACGACGACCCTACTACGTTCTTGCTACGTCTATAAAAACAATACTTTTTACCAGTAAATTTCATTCTGAGTCTGACCTTAAACCCCTGTCACACTGGGACGGCGTTCTTACGGCGTCAAAAGAAAATTCAGAACGCCAAGGTGAGCGCAGTAAGATCGCAAACATCGCCGCAGCATCGCCGTAGCATCGTAGTGGCATCGCATAGAACGCCGACCAACGGCGCGCATTTTGAACATGCTCAAAACAAACGCCGTCACTCGGCGTTCTAAAATAAGCGCAGTGGGATCGCAGTAAGGACGCCGTAGCAACTCAGTAGCATCTCTTTCAACGCAACAAGAGTGCCGCGAAAGCGCAAAAGGAACGCCGAATGAACGCCGTGGTTATCCGCGGCGCTTGTACGGAGATTGTGCGACGTCTTTACTGCGCTTAAACTGCGTGTACACGGCGCTTCCACGGAGCTTTACGATTTCAACGCAGTGTGAGCGCCGCGAAAGCGCCGTATGAGCGCCGTAAATGCGCAGTGAAAGCGCAAAGGACGTCTTAGAAGCGCAGTCCGAACGTAGACAACCGCCAACTAAAACACCGTCGAAGCTCCGTAGCATCGCCATGATCGCCGTGGGGACTCCGTGAAGTCTTCATGACATCAACAATATCACCTTTTTTATTGCGATCTCGCGGCGCTTTGTTAAATTTAACAACGCCGTGCAAACGCAGTGAAAGCGCATTCTAGTGTGACAGGGCCTTTACGGCGTCATTACGTCTATTGCGTTCTTATTGCGTCCTTACTACGATGCTGCTGCGACTATGGCGACTCCACTGCGATCCCACGGCGACCTAACCAGGACTCAGCAAGAACGCAGAGTTTCTGCGACTGTTTTGTGCATGTTTAAAATAGTCGCCGACGGTCTGCGACCTTGTGCGTCCTTGGGTTCCTCGCTACGACCTCGCTGCGTCCCTGTTGCGTCCATGGCGACTGTGCTGCGTCCTGGGTCGTAGCAAGGTCGCAGTAAGGACGCAGTAAGGTCGCGAGGTATGTGTGAGGGCAGTATTAATGTTTGAGGGAAAACGATAGCTTCTTAGATATATACAGGTGTTTTCTTGATATAAAAATCACAGACCACAAAGAAACCACCATCGTGCCAGGTACGAAGAAATATGATACTAAAGATATTAATATAATACTATAGTGATCAAATATGATATGAAAGTAAAAACATATGATAATAAAGTGAAGTAATAAGGTATTTAAGTACAGAAATATGATACTAAAGTGAAGTACTATAATACATGTACTTAAGTGACGTAATATGACGTTACTGTATATGACGTAATACATGATACTAAAGTGACGTAATATGATATCTAAGTGAAGAATACGTTATTAAAGTAAAACATATGATACGTAAGAGTGAAGAAAAATGATTCTAAATTTTTCAACTTGGATATTTTGGCTTGGTTAACCTTTTTGTTTTGTTTTTAACGGACGTTTTTCTTTAAAGTTTGAAACATTATTTAATTATTTTTAATTTTTAAGTTGGATAAAGTAGATAAATTGCATACAATTGATAGAACCCCTTTATATTTATTTTCTGTGTGAAAACGCATAAAATACAGGCGTGCATCAAGTATTTTAGTATTTATTCATAATCACTTTCATTTTAGTATTAATACTTGATGATGTTGATAATGAGGATTACAATACATGCAATGATAAAATCATTATGAAAATCAAAAGTCAATATGCATGTATATGATTTTACAGCTATAACGACATCAACACGTGTAGACACATGTAAAATGAGAATTTTTCACACAAATTATACAAGTTTAACTCGAGACAAAACAGATGGGACAGTAAATGAATAAAAAGACTGGCCAATGTAACTACCACAAGTCTCCTAGAATTACAGTCGGACCAATTAAACTACCACAAGTCTCATAGAATTACAGTCTGACCAATTAAACTACCACAAGTCTCCTAGAATTACAGTCTGACCAATTAAACTACCACAAGTCTCCTAGAATTACAGTCTGACCGATTAAACTACCACAAGTCTCCTAGAAGCACAGTCTGGCCGATTAAACTACCACAAGTCTCCTAGAAGCACAGTCTGACCAATTAAACTACCACAAGTCTCCTAGAAGCACAGTCTGGCCGATTAAACTACCACAAGTCTCCTAGAAGCACAGTCTGACCAATTAAACTACCACAAGTCTCTTAGAAGCACAGTCTGACCAATTAAACCACCACAAGTCTCCTAGAAGCACAGTCTGACCAATTAAACCACCACAAGTCTCCTAGAAGCACAGTCTGACCAATTAAACCACCACAAGTCTCCTAGAAGCACAGTCTGACCAATTAAACTATCACAAGTCTCCTAGAAGCACAGTCTGATCAATTAAACCACCACAAGTCTCCTAGAAGCACAGTCTGACCAATTAAACCACCACAAGTCTCCTAGAAGCACAGTCTGACCAATTAAACTATCACAAGTCTCTTAGAAGCACAGTCTGACCAATTAAACCACCACAAGTCTCCTAGAAGCACAGTCTGACCAATTAAACTATCACAAGTCTCCTAGAAGCACAGTCTGACCAATTAAACTATCACAAGTCTCCTAGAAGCACAGTCTGACCAATTAAACTATCACAAGTCTCTTAGAAGCACAGTCTGACCAATTAAACCACCACAAGTCTCCTAGAAGCACAGTCTGACCAATTAAACCACCACAAGTCTCCTAGAAGCACAGTCTGACCAATTAAACTACCACAAGTCTCTTAGAAGCACAGTCTGACCAATTAAACTACCACAAGTCTCCTAGAAGCACAGTCTGACCAATTAAACTACCACAAGTCTCCTAGAAGCACAGTCTGACCAAATTTATATAAGTTTAAAGATAGTGTAAATGTTCTTTTCATCAGCAAGAACTGTACTGGATTCCGGACATATGCTTCACAAAAATTGAACATTTTTAGTTTGACTAACAACGATAGAAATATTTTGTCTACCTTTTTCCTTCACCAGGATCGATCTGATTATAATAATAAATGTTTCCCGAAAACAATGTCGAAATGAGGAATTCAAGTCATAACAGGAGAACATATATAAACAAATATTGTGGTATATATAATACGTTGGTTTAAAAGAAACATACATGTGACCCCCCCCCCCCCCTGAAATGATATGTTTTCTTTCAGCGACATTTATTTTGTTTCTATATATAGAACAACATTGAAAAACGTTCCCTCATAAATGAAACAACAGATAGCCCTTGTTACGAGGGTATTTTAAAACTAAATGAAATATATCAAACGTGAAAAGAAAAACACAGCTTCCGGTACATGATACTGTCCGGCAGTAGGTCAAAATCCAGTTTGTGTATTATAACGATATATTGATAATATTTTATTGTATAAATATATACACAATATACAATTTCATAATTTTACAAGTTCTAACAACATTATCGTGGGCCCTTCCCTGAATCAATATATCAAGATCAATATATTGATCAAAGGTATATTCACAGGTGCTTGAAACAAACTTTTTAAAGTTTTATATGGGCTATATACTATAATAAGATATAAGGTCTCCAACAGAACCAAAACATCATGCTGAACAAACAAGAACACCACTGCAACACACGACCAGATCACGGTTACCTCTTTCTGGTCGACATTCGAAAGGATCAATCCAAGCGTTAACGCTTTTTAATTCATTAAAAATCTTCAAATAGCAAAGAAATGAGTAAAAGTTTCACAAAATGCCAATATTTTCAATCCATGTCGTTTTCGACGTCCAATCTATTCATGTATACAAACACGATATCTGGTCGATTCCTACGAAATTAACAGAATTAAATTAGATTAAATCTTAAATTTCCTCATAAATTACATAAAAAAAACTCTTTTTCTATCGATTTGCGAAGTCTAAATTGAACTAGAGTATGTACGAAAATATTTTAAAAATATTGGTTGCAGAAGCGGAGGTCAAGTAAAATGCGCCATTTTGATTTTGAAGTGACAGGTGAATGAAGCAAAGAAATACTATTATACGATTGGTCAATAGTATTCCGATTATTATCTTAACCAATCAAATCCTTGTATAATATTCAGAACGGAACAGTATATACATGCGCTATACATAGCGATAAAATACTGTCACAAGCGGGGTCCTTGGGTATTTTTTTAAGAATTACGTACATGTAGAGGGCTTTTGATCAGTTAAGACTTCGCAGATCGATAGGATAAGAGTTTGTTTATTGAACGTACGTGGAAATAATGGCCGTTTTTTGTTTATTTCGTAAAAATCGACCAGAAATCATGTTTGTATACATGAATGGTATGGACGTCGAAAACGACATGAATTGAAAATAATGGCATTTTGCGAAATTTTTCCCAATTTCTTTGCTATTTGAGGGATTTTAATGAAATAAAAAGCGTTAGCACTTGTATTGATGCTTTCAAATGGCGACCAGAAAGAGATAATCGTGATCTGGTCGTTACTTGGAGTGGTGTTCTTGTTTGTTTCCGCATGATATTTTGTTCTGTTTGGGGCCTTATATCTTTATATACATATATAGACCGGTTATGTAAAATATTTGATTATGTGACTAGCGCCTGTGGGTATATTTGTTTCAAGGTTAGGGTTAGGATTTTTCAAACAAGAACCAATTTACTAACTGTTGAACAATCCCAAGATTCAGATATGAAAAGCACAATATTCTACATTGGGATAGAAATATCAATTATATTTTCATGTTTAAAAAAATTGTCTTCAAATCATAAAATAACAAATTTGCCAAACTTACTGCTGTTTGCTGGCCATCTAATGTCGGTTCCCGCCATTTTGCTTTCACTATGACGTCAGCATTAAATTGTTCCTTGAGTGTATCTATCTCTCCAACTTTGAAAAACTGAACAACAATTTCTACCTTGACCTGAAAGTAAAACAAAAACAATGTCTCGGATCGAATTGACGTTAAAGTAACAAAAACCAACAATTTCTACCTTGCCTTGAAATTACCAAGACAGTTTCTACCTTGACCTGAAAGTAAAACAAAAAGGTCTATTGTTGTACTGACTTTAAAGTTCAACAACAACAATTCCTACATTGCCTTAAAAATAACAAACATTTCGACCTTGACTCTAGCAAGTGTTCTTAATTCCTTAATGTAATAAATATAAAATAACATAAAGAATATTTACTAAATATATATTGAAATAATTAGAAAAAAGAATGTTTAGCCTTTTTTTGTAGTGTTTTTCTGAAAGTGTGAAACTAGGAATATATTAGTGTAGCCTTTTTTGTAGTGTTAATCTAAAAGTGTGACACTGAAATACATCCGTCGAGGATTGATACAGTTAATATCAACTAGCACGGTAATGCATTCCAGTCAATAGTTAACGTTCCAAAACCACCATCTCATCTTTTGGCACACAGTGGTATAGAATTAATCACTAACAAATACATTAAGAATGTCCATACGCTATCGCTGCTGGCACGAGCACTGATTACAAATAAATTACCTTTTTGACACGCGAATTGTTATGTTACATTTAGAGAATTAATGACCACTTTAGTCGATCCACTTATCATCTTATTAACACTGTCTTGTAAATTATCTATATCTACATGTATATACTTATGTCATCGGGCGTTTATATGATGACGTCACATGTCTAACAAATCAGTACAGTGATATTCCGATCAGGCATTAAATCATTAAAATTAAGTTATGTTTACCCTCCTGGTAGATTTGACGATATCATAAATGATTTCCATTTTGATAAAATATATAGTTGTTTAGGCACCCCTGTAGACTTCCTTTCCGTTCATATCGTAGTAATATTTTTCTCAAGTTTGATTTTCTAAAAAAAAATATTTTGGCTCATTTGGGCCATGCAGCTTTAAATTCAAATATATTATTATAAAGCAATAAACTAATTATGTAAGTCTGGGTTGCTACATTTAAACAAAAGTCTACAAATAAGAACAGTACTTGAAAATGATATTTTTACTTGCTAAACGTTTTGGCATTTTATCAAAACACTGTTTATAATGGCTAACCATCTGCTGTACTGTTCTAAATTTAGGTTAACATAAACAATATATAGCGGGGGTGGTATGTTCTGTATACACATGATCTACTTGTATCAGGAGACCGCTATAGTGTCAGTACTTAACACGTGAAAATCGTGCTAGTACTTGTATACATATCCAATGTTGGTCATATACCACGTGACTTTTCGGGTACGGAGCACGCAGATTTTTCACCCGATTTAGGTATGTTTTTATTCATAACTTATTTATTACTCAACCGATTTTGATCAGATAAGGCGCAGAGTACCCGTAATTATATCAGCTTTCTACGGTATGTCAAAATTCTGAAAACCCCTGAATGGTTTTTGAGAACATGCGAGTACAGTTTTCTTCTCATAACCGGAACCGAGCTCGAGGGGAACGGTTCACACTCATTTGTCATAACAAGCGATTTATAGCAAGTCATATGTTTTTTGTCACTATTTCATAGAAAATTACATGTTAAATCTGATATATATTAACTATGTCCAATGTATCGAGTGAATGCAGTGATGTTTTAGCATATTTTCATAAAGTTATGTTGAAATGATACGGAACACACTGTTATTTCAAAAGATACGGTGCACACACAATTTCTGTCTTTGAAATAATTCTAAAATAAAATATATGGAAATTTAATTTAAATTATAATGCGAGTGTTTTTTTTTCCATAGTTATACATTTTATCAATTTAAACAAGACCCCTGGGACCTGTTTTGCAATGTATCATTTTGCTTACTTTAAATGTTAATATGTATTTGTGCAATCACTTTAACATTTACAACCTCCATGTAATTGTCCTATTTAAAATCACCTAGGGTATGTTAAACACTTCGATCTTCACAGAATCATGTAGTTGCGTTTAAAATGATTGTTCTATAGACACAATGTTGTTATAATGCTGTGCTTATTGTTGTTTATTGTTCTTGTTTTTTTTTTTAATTTCTTTTAGTTTTAGGGAAGTGTAAGATATGTCTTTTTCCTTCATCCTGAAAAAATAAAACAAGGTCATGACCTAAATCGCTGAAAAATATCATTACTTGATAACATTATATATATTTATATTTTGTTAATAATAAGTAAGTCACTAGGTACAATTTTGCAATATCATGGTCATGTTTAATTAAATCAAAGCACAGAAGGCGCTGAATTTGTTTGGGTCTCAGAATGTCAGAAAGGTGAAGGTTGTGAGATTATAAACCAATTTGTTTTTGTATAGTGCCACCAATGCTGTTTCCAGTGTTATAACTGTAGTAAATTGGCTATAAGGCTTATTGCAACACTGATATTCAATTCAATGTTTATTTGGCTTAAAAAATTTAAAAAAAAAAGATGAGTTGCCTTAAATGGGATTTGAACTCAGGACATCTCTCTTCCTAAACGAGCGTGTAACCCCTCGACCACGGGGAAGTTATAAGATAACAGCCTGAAGAAAACCATATCATTCTAAATTAGGGTTTGTAACCCTTATTTGTTTCGTTTAACACAGATGTAAATAATCATGGAGCTCAATATTACATGTATATCTGTAAAGAATTACACAATATTTGAAATCTTTGACCAATCGGGAACTACTTTTTTTATTCCCCCCGAGAAGGCTTGAAAATTAATGCGCCTTTCATTTGACAATCTTTACGCAGTGATCTCCCCTATTTTTTCGGTGTTAGAGTACTTATTAAGTAACCGCTTCGAGGAGTTCGGACTACTTTCTGAGCATATCAGAGTCTGAAATTTCGCTACCATTATTTGTTTGGTCTGACGACCCAAACAAATAAAAATGTAGTTGCCATGGCTTAAATTGTTAATGTTTAAAGACATGAAGCTTTAAAAATAACTTTAAATTCAGGTAAAATAGGCCCTTTTTGGTTTGGTTTCACGGCTCACCAAAACTGACATGATCATGTGGCGACTTTCCAGTTTTACAAGTGCCCATTTGGGTATAAATAAAGGTACGAACGGGCACCTGAGTAAAACGACCGACGTTTATTACGGTAGTTAGAAAACTTTTTCACTTCGAAGTCACTTGTGGTCTCGTACCTACTTCATGTAGTATATAAAACAGAACGCAGCCTCCAAAATCCATAGCATTTGATTGACAAAATGGGTATTATTAAAATATCATTTTATTTTTAACACAAACACGCAAGCACACATATCCATGAACTCATGTTTTTAAAGCATCTTTAAATGAAAGTCCAAGATAGGCATAATTTTACCAAAATTTCTTACATGTATATGTAACAAGGTTACCTTGTATAAACTACGTTACGTTATATAACAGGCCTTGTTCCCATATGGGTTCTTCAAATTATCCGGCTTTTAATTTTGATTGCACGTAAAACTGCGGAATATCTTTGTCCATATGTAGATAATTTGATAATTTAAATACATGCAGTTAGTTTAGGACCCTGGCAGATGATTCATACCAAATATCATGTGGCAGAAAAATACTTTAAACTTTCCGTGATTTAAAAAATCCACTTGCATCAAAACCAGCGTTTTTTCTCCAAATTCGATTATTTAAACAACATTTTGCACGGAACATATACTTCCAACTTACTCCTAACTTCTTGTTTGTTTTTTTATATTCATACTAGGTTAAGACAGTCATTTATATGTTCGATCAAATAAATTAAATGAAAGAATAATCGCACATAACAGATGTCCATGAATTTCACAATTCGTTTTATAATCCGAAAAAAATGTATATAATTATTTCAAATGAAAAACAAAACAAAATTTTGAATGTCTTCCGTTCCCTCCTTAATATATTAACATTTTATAGCCAAATATTAATTGATCAACATTTAAAATTGAATTTTGCGCGACGTACTCTCAAAATATTCTTTTATTTTTTTTAAAAAAATCACTCAAATTATAATTTAAATTAAATTTCCATATATTTTATTTTAGAATTATTTCAAAGACAGAAATTGTGTGTGTACCGTATCTTTTGAAATAACAGTGTGCTTCCGTATCATTTCAACATAACTTTATGAAAATATGCTAAAACATCACTGCATTCACTCGATACATTGGACATAGTAAATATATCAGATTTAACATGTATTTTCCTATGAAATAGTGACAAAAAACATATGACTTGCTAGAAATCGCTTGTTATGACAAATGAGTGTGTACCGTTCCCCTCGGCCCCGGCTATGAGAAGAAAACTTTACTCGGATTTTCTCAAAAACCATTCAGGGGTTTTCAGAATTTTGATATACCGTGGAAAGCTGCTGATATAATGACGGGTACTCTGCGCCTTATCTGATCAAAATCGGTTGAGTAATAAATAAGTTATGAATATAAAACATACCTGAATCGGGTGAAAATCGGCGTGCTCCGTACCCGAAAAGTCACGTGGTATAGCCACATTGATATGTTTTTTTCTGTTGTCGAACAGTTTATAAAATAAATGGAAAGGTCTTACATTGCACATTATTACAGTCATTTTGTAAAAATAGCTACTTGAGCTAATCTCGAAAATGTGATGCTTTAGACAATACTGTTTATTGTTATATTACTTTGTATATCCTCCACACGGAACACACCATCAACATTTATTATTCATAAATTGTACATACAATAAAATATCATTATTTCACACATGGGAACGTTGTATAATATGAGAGAACTGATCAATAAATATCATATAAATATATATGATATATACGTATATAATGTTATAAAAAACATCAATAATGTCTAGTTAATCGTTTTATCCCAGCAAGTACATTAAAGTTATTTGCCGCCAAATATATATCTTTATATCGTGTGAAAGGTCCATTTGTTGCATGGTAGATAATTTGTTTGCATCACATGTAATTATTTTGGCATTAAATTACTCTATCGGAT